TCGCGGGGGGTTACGAGGCCCCCCCGGCCCTGCGGGGGCTGCTCCAGCCCTGCTCTCCCCCCAAAAAGCAGGCGGGGGTTTGCTGGTTGCAGGCGCCCCGGAGCACTCGGAGCCCCTCTCCGCCCTGGCTGCCCTCCCCCCGCCCCCCCAGCGTGTGGGGGCTTGTGGCAGAGCCTCTGCAAATGTGGTTTGCCCTGAGCCCCGGGCTCCTCCGCCTGGCGTGTTTTCTTCCTGCGCCCAGATAACTCTAATTTGCGGCTCTGCGCGCAGGAGATAATTTGAACACACCTCCGTGGCGTGTGGGAGGAGATCCCTGCGCTGGCCTTCGTTTCGTAAGGAGGGAGGAGGGCTGTGGTTTTTTTTGAAATGCAGAACTGCTAGAAAGGCTCGTTTGTTTTAAAAGGAGGGAAAAAGTCCTTTGGAAACCAGGCAGCACCAGGGTCTGCCCGCCGGAGACCTGCGTGGGGGAGGACGCCAGTGCCATGCTGGAGGCCCCTGGACGGTCTGTGCGCGTAGCAGAGCACGATGCCTTTCCTGCACGGCTTCCGCAGGATCATCTTCGAGTATCAGCCCCTGGTAGACGAGATCTTGGGGTTGCTGGTGATACAGGATGCGGAAAGGCAGAGCGCCCTTGAGAGGTAACTAGACGGGGCTAAACGCCCGCTTTGGCCGCTCCGTGATGCGGCCGAGGTCAGACACAGCACTGGCTGGGAACAAACCCCAGTCCCGGTGAGCAGCTCATCCCACGGACCCTCCTCTTGCTGCTGTTCTTTGGGAACGTGGGGGTGGAGCAGAGCAAACACGGGGACTACGTGTGCTCCCCAGGAACAGCCCTTTCTGCCTGACCCATGGCAATAACACCTAAACCGGGGTTCAGCTGTGACCCTGATGCTGCTGCGTAACCCCACAGCCAACAGGTTAGAGACCTGGTGGTTACAAGACAGGAGGGGAGACCGGGGATGTTTTCTTCTTCCCTGGTGCTACTTTGACCCTTGCACACCCCTGAGATGTGTGCCGTTCAGCTGAGTAACTGGTTGTTTTTGTGTGTCTTAAGCCCTGCCTGTCTGGGCAGCGACAGGAGCCAGCTCTCAGCCGTGAGACGAGTCTTGGAAAGGGAGACCCACTCCCCGTTTTATCAGGAAGGCGTGAGCTATGCCCTGCTGAAGGTCACCGAGCTGGGGCTCGTCCCTGCCGCGGAAATCCTCCTGGAGTTCGGAGCTGACCTCAGCTTTGAAGGTAAGGCCGGTGAGGAGGGGGCTGGGCCTGGGTCTGTTCCTCGGGCTGGCCAGGAGGGACCAGCTGGTGAGAAGCTGCCCTGGGAGGCGGTGATAGCTGGGGCAGGAGGAGGGGGGTGCTGCCAGCTCAGACCCCCACTCTGCTGGGATAGCGTGGGTGCGCTTTGTGGCAGCCCTTGTCCAGACCCAGCCGCAGGGATGGACTGAGGGACGGCCGGGGCCTCGGGGGCCAGTTTGAACCTCTGAGGACTTTTGCCAGAGATGGAGCCATTGCAAAAGCAGGACCTGGGGTGTCTGTGACAGCCCTGCTTTCACGGGCATCACTGTGTTCTCAGGGCCCTCCCCAGCTGCCCCCTTCCACTTCTGGCAGGTGTCAGGGCCGTTCTGGGGAAGCCCTTAGTTCTCTCTGACTCTTGTGTTTTTGTCCTCAGATCCAGTCACCTACTACACCCCCCTGCACATCGCAGTGCTCCGCAACCAGCCGGATATGGTGGAGCTCCTGGTGCGCCACGGGGCTGACATCAACCGCAGAGACCGGGTACGGGCTTAGCTGCCTGGGCATGGCCAAGCTGAGCCCCCTTGAGACTTAGCTGCAAGGGACTGGCCTGTGGGGACAGCCCTCCCTGCTCCCCACCTCCCGGGCTTTGCTGCATGCCTCTTCCCCTTGGCGACCTCCTGTGCCTGTTGTCCGTAGTGCTCCGATGCTGTGGCAGAAGTTCAGGTTGCCTTTGGCCGAGCAAACCTGCCTCTGCCGTGGAGCGATGGGTGGGAGGAGGCTGGGGTAGGCAAACCTCTCCCTGTGGACACACCGGGGAAGGTTCACTTTCATTTTTGGGGATGGGTTGAAATAACGCTCTTACGTTGGCCATGATGAAGCCTCAGCAGTGACTCTCCGGAGGCACTCACAAATAGTCTTTAATACTTACTAGTGTTTTTTTTTTCCTCTTGCTCTGTGCAGATCCATGAGAGCAGTCCCCTCGATCTGGCCAGCGAGGAGCCCGAGCGGTTGCCGTGCCTCCAGCGGCTGCTTCAGCTGGGGGCCTACGTCAACGCAGCTGACAAAAACGGTCCGTGTGCCCTGTCCGGCTCCCCCAGCCCGGGTGCTCCCAGCAGTCAGCCCTCATGGGTGGGCTAGAGCGGGGCACGGGGTCTGGGTCCTTCCGTCTTGCTGCTGCGAATGATCTCTGGTTGTAAACTAACTGGTTTGGAAGTTGGGTGCAGGCTGCAGAACCTCCCTGGTGCTCTGTGCTTTCTCCTTCTGTGTTGGCCATGTCAGGTGCAGAAGGGGGCTGAAACCAGCTCTGTGCAGTCCATGGGAGATGGGACGGGGCTGTGCCTCCGTAGCCCTGCGGTGCCCGCGCACTCTAAATCCCACTCTGCCGTGGCATGTGTGCCCTCTGGGGCCACCGCCAACCCTGCACGTGTGGCCTGTGACCCTGTCCCCACAGCTGTGCACCATCACGGGGACAGCGGGAGCCTGCCCGAAGGGGAAGGGCTGTTTCTCCCCATGTTTGGCTGTCTGGTTGGCGGGGTGGATTGTTTTCCTTCCTGCCTTTCGGGGTGTCACCCTGTTTTCATCTGACTGACCGATTGCTCCATTGCAGGAAAGACAGCGCTGTTGCACGCCCTGGCCAGCAGTGACGGTGTCCAGATTCACAACACCGAGAGCATCCGTCTCCTGTTGGAAGGAGGTGAGGGCAACCTTCTCCCCTCTCCATGCACAATCCCTCCAGGCCTAGCGCTGGCTGATTCTTCGTACAGCACCGGGCACTGCCTTCTCAACTCTTTTGTGTTCCCACTTGAGCAAGAGTAAATCCTAGCAGTGCCGGGGTTAGCGCTGTCCTGGCCTCGTTGTCTGCAATGCCGGTTACGTTCTCTGTCCCTTTCTCCAGGTGCAGATGTCAGAGCCACCACCAAAGAAGGTGACACTGTCTTCACCTACGTCATCTTCCTGCTGGGAGAGATGGTGTGCAGCAACGCTGAGGAGGCACAGGTGACCAATCGCTTCTGCTTTCGTGTCACACAGCTGCTGCTGGCCCACGGTGCCAACCCCAGCGAGTGCCCGGCCCCCGAGTCCCTCACCCACCTCTGCTTCAAAAGCTTCAAACGCCACTTCCCGCTGCTGCGGTTCTTGCTGGAGTCAGGTGCTGCCTACAACTGTTCCCTCCACGGTCCCTCCTGCTGGTCAGGCTTCCACATCGTCTTTGAGTGCCTCTGCTCGCACCTTAGTGTCTCCGAAGATGACAGCTTCTCTACAGACCTCATCCAGAAGGGTCAGACTCTGCTGGAGCTCATGATGGCCAGTTCACAAGCCATCCAGCTGCCCAGCAACTTTGAGGTCAACACCAGCAGCTGTAGGTACCATGGGGAGAAGATCAGGACTCTCTTCTGCTCTCTGAAGCAGCTGGAGCGCTCCCCACAGGCACTGAAACATCTCTGCAGGGTGTTTATCCGGCAGCGCCTTAAACCGTGGCCAGTAGATGTCAAAATCAAGGCTCTTCCTCTTCCAGACAGGCTGAAGTGGTACCTCCTCATTGACCACACTGCTGCCGGGCACGAGGACCTCTGAGCCTAACTAATGCCTCTCCGTCTCCCTCCCTCCACGGTCGTGGTGTGCCTACAGCCACTAAATCTCTGCTCTGAGCCAGTTTTCTCCGCAAGAGGTGGACTGTCCACACGCTGTCCACGCGCCCACAGCTTGGCCAGCGCTGCCCACGGTGTCCGTCTCTGCTGCATTTTTGGGGGGTGTGCTTTTCTGAGCATGACGCTGCACGTACGTCTGTGGAGGCCTTGTTGCTCTGGGGTGCGTGGTGGGGAGGGGGGCAGAGCCCCATGGTCCCTGGGGGTGAAGAGAACCCCTGGGCATCAGGGAGCCGGATACTGGGGCAGAGGGCTGGCTTGTGTGGATTTTAAGAAAAGGATTTTTAAGAAAAGGCCTGGTGGGCAGGACCGGTGGGGCGGCTGGGGTGGTGTGACTGGACAGGCAGCCCTGTCCCCTCTCTTTCCAGCCCTGCCGGGTCCGGGGTGGGTGAAGCAGTGCCTTAGGCGAGCGGCGGAGTCGTCAGATGCTTCGGGGTGCTGGGAGAAGAGGTGTTCCCCGTGCCAGGAGCGTGCTGGCATCTGTGTCCTGGTTTCCTGCCTTCGGTCCCGCTGGTGGGAGCGGCCGTGGTGGAGGCAGGTCCGGCATCTCCGCATGGGTGTGGATGCCTTCCTCGCTCACGCAGTCTTCTGAAACCAGGAGCGTGACGGGGGGTGAGGGCAAGCGGGGCTGGCAGCGGTGGCCGGCTGCTCGGCACCCTCTGAGTTTCTGCTGGGAGCACCCTGTCCTCCCGGCACAGAGGACCATCCGCCAAGGACATCTCGGAGGTGCTGGGCTCCAAAACAGATAAATGGATGTTTCTTGGCTTCGTGGTGTGTTCCCTGTGCAAGGATGAGGAACAGGCGGCTAACTGCCGAGTGCCTTGTGCCTCCCTCCCCGTTCCTTGGCTCTTTCCCTTGCTGACTGCTCCCAGGACCTTGGTCTCCAGTGCCTCCTTCCCAGCAACGAGAAATTGCAGCAGGACTTGGTTTTCTTTCCAACCCGCTACTGGAACCTGCAAACTGTGGGGCTGCACACGGAGGTCCCATGTCCCAGCCTTGCCACAGCTGTCTGGCTCCCCCTTCTAGGCATCTGCTTCCTCGTGACATGCCAAAGACTGGCCGCAGAGCTGAGCCCCCCACATTTTTGTTGTTTGTTTTTTGTTTGTCGTGGGGGACAGATGCAGAAGAGGATGAAAAGAGGAAAAAAAAAAAAAATCTATTCTGAGCAGGTACCATTTATAGCAGGTGGATCTGGGATCCACGGGCGGTTTGGCTGCAGAAGGGTTGTCTCCCCCCCGTTGCCCTCCTGGCAGCATCTGTGTTTTACCTTCTCCCACCCCGTGGAACTGGAGCTGTGCATCTTGATGAATTGATGTTTAAAAAAAAAATAATCATGATGTGATCAAATGCTCCCTTGGTGTCTGGAATGGGAAATAAGCAATTAAACGAGGCCTTTTGTAATAACGACAAGGGGCTTGTTTCTTCTGCAGGAGAGCCGGGGCAGAGGAGAGGGGCTCTGCGGGGACGGGGGGAATCGTGTGTGAGCCCAGCTGGAGGGACGGGGATCTTCTCACCCAGCCGGCAAGCTGTCGTGCCCTGCGTTGGCTGCGTTGTGCTGCGTTAGGTTGGCACAAGCACGTGACCAGACTTGGGCAGAATGAAGTGGATGTGGCCAAGGAGGAGATGGGAGCGCTAAAGCCGGGTGATGGTGCGGGGTGCTGGGGGAACAGCTGTAGTGTTGGAGCGGGAGGTGCTGGGCATCACCGTGAGCCTGCGGTAACGGGCTGGGGGGGGGTCCGGAGGCAGCTCGGAGCGGGTGCCCCGTTAACACCCAGAGCATGCCAGTTCTCTCCCAGGGTTGCAGGGCTTTGTCTGGGTTACCCCTATCCCTGGAGGAGGAGGTGGGGGGCCCAGGATCACATCCACCTCCCTTTTTGCTGCACATGTGGGAGACCTGCTCATGGGTTTAAAGGAGAGGCCCCCACCAAGCCCCAGAACCTGGTGTTGCCTCCCCACCCCACCGCGGGGAAATGGCAGAGATGTGTCCCATTTGCCTTAGCCAGCTTGTTGCTGTGAGCAGCAGCAAGTTCAAGAGTGGGAAAGGGTCAAACACCCAAACGAGGAAGGGAGCCCAGACACTCACAGAGGCGCTCTGAGCTCCTGTTCGGTAACAGGAGCCCTGTCCGACTGGCATCAGCAACCTGCTGGTGCCCACGGAGCACGCCTCTTGCAGGGGAGACCCTCTTGCTCCCGTACAGAGCCCCCGAAGGTGGCATCAAGCCAACACTGCGTCTGACAAAGCCCACATGCAGAAGTGCAACAGCAGGAAAATGTATTTGGCAAACACCTCTTTTCACAAACAGCAGCAACTTGGAAGACAAAGTCCCCTCCTCGTCACCAGCCCTGGAGAGAGGGAGCCACGACACCCTCACCGCCGTCCACCACCCCGCGGTGAAGGCACGGTCCTCACCCCTCCCGGCCCTGGCAGGAACCACCGTGCTGGCCCGTGCTCCGAGCTGGCCCCGGAGAGACCTTCTCCTGCTGCCAGCCACCCTCATCTCATGGCAAAGGTGTAGACGTGGTAGATCTCATCGGGGAAGTTCTCCTGGCGCTCCTCGGCCAGGAGGTGCAGCCCAGCTCGGCGGATGATCTTACGGACCACGTCCAGGTCCCGGCAGACGCTGCTGTCCACATCGTCCATGATCACGCCCTCCTGAGCCATGTTGTCCTTGATGACCACGATGCCGTTGGGCCGCAGGCCGGCACGGCACCGCTTCAGGAAGTCAGAGAGGTGGTTGTCAGTGAGGTGTCCTGGAGGGGCAGAGCGGGTGTTAGAGGGCACGGGGTGACTGCGGCAGGACCGCCAGGCAGCATGTGATACGAGGGGAGGAGACCAGGAGACTGCAGTTGGGATCCCTCCTGATCCAGGCAACCAAATACTTGAGCCATTTGCAGGTGAAAGCTTTAGCTTGGGGGTGTCCAACTTGTGTCCCACGGGTTCTATCCAACTCCATCCAACCCACACCTCTGCCCTGACCTCCGACGGCTTGGGGGGAAAAGACCCCACAGTGCAATTGCCCTTGTAGTGCCCACGGAGGGCAGGTCCCTAACCCAGCCTCCCACCCATGCTGTGATGCTCATCCTTAACGCAGACCTCAAGCTCTCCTTCCCAAAGCTCTCCCCAGTGCGTGGGGCACCTGCCCCTCGGGGGAAGCTGGACGGAAGACAGGCTGGTGAGACCCCCACAAGCCGAGTGACCCTCACCGATGACCCACTGGATCCAGATGACATCGTAGGAGTTTGGCTCGGGGCTGAAGTCCTGGAGGCCGCAGCAGAAGTAGTTGCGCACCCGCCTGCCCTCCTCTCCCAGGTAGCTCTTGGCCTTGGTGAGGAAGTCCTCCGTCACGTCCACCATGTCCACTGTCTTGAAGAGGGGCAGCAGCAGCCGCTTGGTGATCCGGCCGATGCCCGCCCCGCAGTCCAGAGCACGGGTTGTCCCCGTCCGGTTGGGGCCATCCTGGAACAACAACCATGAGGGGCTGAATCCCACCACGAGGTACCCACAGAGGAGAAATGGGGCAACTGCACGGGATGGGGCTGGGGTATGGGGGACCCATTGCAGGGCAAAGCTCTCCCAGCACACACGCAACGGAGGATCCCACGGAGCAACTCGGAGGGAAGAGCCCAGCTCCGTGCTGGGAGAAGAATGGGACTTTGGGAGCATGACCGTGCCACCTACCCGCAGAAACCTCTGCAGGAACTTCCTGGAGCTGTTGATGTCGATGCTGGAGATGTGGCCATAGCCCCCCAGCATGCCGTCCACCGTGGCGGGCACGTCCTTCCAGTACTTCTCTGCCTTGGAGTAAAACTCAAACTCGTTCTCCACCACCTCACTTGTCATGCTGGCCGAGGGGCACGGGCCCGCGCAGGACTCGCTGCTCCTCCAAGACAGGGGAGAAACCACCAGTCAGGTCCGAAAGAGCCACAGGCGTAAAGGCCCCCCTGAACTGCAGGGCGCCAGCTCTGTGAGTACCCCAATTTCTGTTTTATCACCCTTTCCCTCTCTCCAGAGCTATTTCAAACCCTAAAAACCTTCAGCTGAGAGCAACAAGGAACAAAGATCTAAATCCTGGTATTTTCTGGAGACCAACAAGCCCAAAACCCTTTCCTGGGCAGGGATGCTTCAGCCAGACCAGGCATCCCGGAGCCTTGCTCAGCAATACACCCAATTATATTATTTTTTTTTAAGGCTGACCCACCCTTTTCACCTACTCCACTGCCTCTTTTCCTGTCTTAACGTTTTACAGATTACATGTTTATCTGTGGCGACAGCCCCATCAGTCACCTCCAATTACACCTGGAGTTGCTAAAAGTTATCCTAAGCACCTACCTGAGGATTGTAAATCTCAGCCGTGACCATAAGTTAGATATTTGCAATATAATAAAGTCAAGGCATAATCAGCAATACAAGCTATAAATCCCCCCCAGACATCTCATAATTCAAACCACTGTGGATTTGATTAACTGTGCTGGGGATTAGAAACTAGATTTAAGGTGGCCAAAGGGTAAATTCAAGGACTTCAAACACCTTTACAAATAAAGAAATATATAGTGTTCGTGGCTTGAATTTGCTGGCAAATATCCCATTAGACACAAAACCTTCTATGGGAGGGCTTA